TAAATATCTGGAGCTGTTGGCGATTCACAATCACGCTGTGTGCAATGATTTCTGACTGAAAACTATATGATGACCAAACTACTGATGACCTACAGCCAATGAGAGATCAAGATACAGGGCAGAGGGAAGTTCGGGGAGGAGGTATAGACCAGAATATCAGTACTTTAATAGATATATGAACAATTATATCATAGAGAAACAAGCACAAACATTTGCTTGACCAGCCACAACATCAGCATAACAGTCACTGCAAAATTATTTACCTCCAACTCTCTTTGCAGAACAACCAATCCCTGTTCCCTGCATCTCCCTCCTGCATAATCGAATGTCTTTTTCTCCTTGTAGCTGGATATCGGCTCACAGACAATTTGCGGGATATATATATATTTTGTAATAATTAGTCTTGCTCGCGAGAACGCCGCTCTGACGCACGCGGGTTCTCTCGTTATTTCCTTATCACTTCTCGCGTGTGTTTTGTTGTAAAACGTAGTTTGCGGACCAGACAGAGCTGTCGGCGATTCTTCCTATTGTGAAGTCATGCAGTGTGAAACCCCCTGTCGCCGATCCATCGTGCAATGTGAACACAGCAGCGACTGAATGCTACCCCAGATAGTCATGCAGTGTGAAAACAACGGCGTTCCGACGAGTTTGAAAATCGTGCAGTGTGAACTCGGCATAACCGAGACTTGTCATTTTCACTTATATACTGTTGCTCTTTTGTTAGCTTTGATTGCTTATATTGTCCTCATTTGTAAGTCGCTTTGGATAAAGGCATCTGCTAAATGACTAAATGTAAATGTGATTGGGTCATTGTCTTGATTGTTCACAGGTGTTCCTTGTTTAGTCATTTAGTCTTGTGTATAAATACCCCTCATGTTTCTATGGGCTAGTTGCATATCTCTGCCATCTTGGATTTCCACTCTAGCGAGTCTGTGCATAGAGCCAAAGAAGTCTGTGCATAGATCTCTGGTAATCCAAAGAATACCTTCTATTTATGTTTACAGGATTTATAATATTACTTAAAATGCAATTAAGGTCTACATTATTATTATTACTATAATGTTTATGTTAATTGAGCCAGTGGTATTTGAAACTTGTGTATGTTTGGGTCCGGTGTATGAATGAAATACACTAATCCGTACTGTTCACGAAATGAAAGTTGCCTTGAACTCATGGTGCGTTCACATACACACAAGGTATTTTCCCCTCACTAATTATGTAAATGTCCAAATTACTTATTTTTCAAAAATTTTAGGATTTCATGGACTTTTTTTTTTTTTAACTGAAATACATTTATCTTGTGAGACACAGGCTGCAATTGATCGATCTTCATAAATATATGTTTCTCAATTCTGCACCGTTCTATACAGTCTGTTCTGCACATACATCAGTTCCATCAACATTTTCACAACATGTTTTAATATTTTATATTTACACACTTATCTTTGCATCAAACATTTTTAGATGAAAAAGTGCTGTAAAAAGAAAATTAATTAATAGGTATGGCTATTTAAAGACTTCTAATGCAAACATTTCGTAAAAATATACTGTATGTTTAGACCCCAGACAGATAATGCTTTATGCAACAGATGCTCATTTTCATAAAACGGATATTTATCCCTCTACTGCATGGTGTGGCCATATGACAACATACTCTGTTAATTTCCTTACCACTATCTCTTTAAGAGAACATTCTCAGTTTTTTTTGGGAAAGAGAAGACCTTAGTTTAGCCAATGATGTGCTTTGCTTAAGTCACTTGACATGCAGTTTTTTTCTGTGGCACGATTTCTGACAGACTGCCGTCTTTTGTCGATAGTTGCTGAAAGCAAACTAAGGTTGTATTTGTAGTCTCCCTGAAAAAGGGGCATATAGATATTTTCAACAGACAGACACGAACACTTGTTGCGTTTCCCTCAACTTCTGTATTATGAGTGTAAAAGAACCATTCAATTTTTACAGAATAACCAAGAAATGCATACCAACTTGCATATAACATCATTGCCTTCTATTTATACACAAAATTACCCATATTGTACTTGCTGACAAAACAAATAAAGAGATGAGCATCAATTGGCATAAAACACCATATCTATTCTGGTACACACAATAAACAAGATAGCTTGCATCTGTATGTGTGACAAAATAACTTGTATAAAATAAAGAAAGGCAAAATTGTGAAAACTCTGTTTTGTTTCAAGCCATTGAGGATCTATTCAATTGTTAAAAGAATATTGAGCTTACAGTGCATACAGGCTGATGATAAGGTTGTAATTGATATGTCCATGCTTGAGGCATGGTATGTAATGGTAGTGTAGTAAGGCTATAACAAGAGGGGGATCCAATTTTATCATACCTAAGGGTCTTTGGTGGTCTACGTTCCCTCTGTGATTGCTTGGGTAAAGGCTCTGTTTCACTTCCATCACTGCTTCCAGAGAACTGCGGTACTTCCCCGACCATCTCAGTTTCAACTAAATCCTCCCCTATTCCAGGTGAGTAACTGGCTGGTGTATCCTGACTGAGCCAGTCATCATTCCTTTTGGGCTCTGTTGTTTCTACTGCATGCCTTTCAAATTGAGGTGTATCTTCACGTTCAGCCACTCCCTGTGGTAGTTGGATGTCCATGAAATAATAATCATCCTCATCGTCCTCTACCTCTCCGTCCACCTCTTTCCTTACTTTAGCTGGTCTGGCATATTTTCTTTTTGTTTTTTTAACCAAATCCTAACCCTAACCCTAAGCTTGTTGTTCATCAGTGGTAGAAAAGGTCCTTCCAACTGAGCATGTAGCTCACTGATAGAGTGCATGCTTTGCATGTAAGAGGTTCTGGGATCAAACCCCAGCATCTCCACAGACTGTTCAAATTTAATTTCAGCTAAAGTGTTTTAATTTGCTCCTTTTGCGTTACCACATCTGGAATTAATAGCATTGGTACACCTACAGTAGCAGAAAAAACTTCTTGTACCACAGTAGAGTGGTAGAAAAGGTCCTTCCAACTGAGCATGTAGCTCACTGATAGAGTGCATGCTTTGCATGTAAGAGGTTCTGGGATCAAACCCCAGCATCTCCACAGACTGTTCAAATTTAATTTCAGCTAAAGTGTTTTAATTTGCTCCTTTTGCGTTACCACATCTGGAATTAATAGCATTGGTACACCTACAGTAGCAGAAAAAACTTCTTGTACCTCTGAAGATTTTTTTTTTTTTAACTGGGGATGTAGCTCAGTGGTAGAGCGCATGCTTCGCATGTATGAGGTCCTGGGTTCAATCCCCAGCATCTCCAGAGACTGTTAAACTTTAATTTCAGCAAAACGGTTTCACTTTGGTCCTGTGGCGTTACCACATCTGGAATTAATAGCATTTGTACACCTGAAAAGCTTGTTGTTCATCAGTGGTAGAAAAGGTCCTTCCAACTGAGCATGTAGCTCACTGATAGAGTGCATGCTTTGCATGTATGCGGTCCTTGGTTCAATCCCCAGCATCTCCAGAGACTGTTAAACTTTAATTTCAGCAAAACGGTTTCACTTTGGTCCTGTGGCGTTACCACATCTGGAATAAACAGCATTTGTAAACCTACAGTAGCAGAAAAAACTTCTTGTACCTCTGAAGAATTTTTTTTTTTTTTACTGGGGATGTAGCTCAGTGGTAGAGCGCATGCTTCGCATGTATGAGGTCCTGGGTTCAATCCCCAGAATCTCCACAAACTTTACAAAATTAATTTCTTTCAACTGGGGATGTAGCTCAGTGGTAGAGCGCATGCTTTGCATGTATGAGGTCCTGGGTTCAATCCCCAGCATCTCCACAGACTGTTAAAATTGAATTTCAGCACAATGGATTCAATTTGGTCCTGTTGAGTTTCCACATCTGGAATTAACAGTGTTGGTAAACCTACAGTATCAGAAAAAACTTGTTGTACCTCAGTGGTAGAAAAGGTCCTTCCAACTGAGCATATAGCTCACTGATAGAATGCATGCTTTGCATGTAAGAGGTTCTGGGATCAAACCCCAGCATCACCAGACACTGTTCAAATTTAATTTCAGCTAAAATGTTTTAATTTGGTCCTTTTGTGTTACCACATCTGGAATTAACAGCATTGGTACACCTACAGTAGTATGAAAAACTTGTTGTACAGCAGTGGTAGAAAACATACTTCCAGCTGGGGATATAGCTCAGTGGAAGAGCGCATGCTTTGCTTGTATGAGGTCCTGGGTTCAATGCCCAGCATCTCCACAGACTGTTAAAATGTATTTTCAGCCAAATGATTTCAATTTGGTCCTGTAGCGTTACCAAATCTGGAAATAATAACATTTGTAATCCTACCGAGGCATAAAAAACTTCTTGTACCTCAGTAGTACACATTTTTTCAACTGGGGTTGTAGCTCAGTGGTAGAGAGCATGCTTTGCATGTATGAGGTCCTGGGTTCAATCCCCAGCATCTCCACGGACTGTTTAAATTGAATTTCAGCCAAACGTATTCAAATCGGTCCTGTTGAGTTTCCACTTCTGGAATTAATAGCATTGGTACACCTACAGTAGCAGAAAAAACTTCTTGTACCACAGTAGTAAAGATCTCGCAACTGGGCATGTAGCTCAGTGGTAGAGCGCATGCTTCGCATGTAAGAGGTTCTGGGATCAAACACCAGCATCTCCAGACACTATTCAAATTTAATTTCAGCTTGAATGTTTTAATTTGGTCCTTTTGCGTTACCACATCTGGAATTAACAGCATTGGTACACCTACAGTAGTATGAAAAACTTGTTGTACAGCAGTGGTAGAATACACTCTTCCAGCTGGGGATGTAGCTCAGTGGTAGAGCGCATGCTTTGCATGTATGAGGTCCTGGGTTCAATCCCCAGTATCTCCACAGACTGTTAAACTTTTATTTCAGCAAAACGGTTTCAATTTGGTCCTGTAGCGTTACCAAATCTGGAAATAATAACATTTGTAATCCTACCGAAGCATAAAAAACTTCTTGTACCTCAGTAGTATAGATTTTTCAACTGGGGATGTAGCTCAGTGGTAGAGTTCATGCTTTGCATGTGTGAGGTCCTGGGTTCAATCCCCTGCATCTCCACAGACTGTTCAAATTTAATTTCAGCTAAAGTGTTTTAATTTGCTGCTTTTGCGTTACCACATCTGGAATTAATAGCATTGGTACACCTACAGTAGCAGAAAAAACTTCTTGTACCTCTGAAGATTTTTTTAAACTGGGGATGTAGCTCAGTGGTAGAGCGCATGCT